AAATCCAGTTGCACAAATTCAAGCAACTTTAATGCATAGGAACTGTTTTTACTGTAGATATGACAGTACCACTTGCAAATAAATCCACTGCTAATTTTTAAATTAGCTGTCTGAAAAACAATGGCAATGAAAACACAACCCTTAAACACATTAGCAGATTGCCTGTACATACAGTAATTCCATGGGCAGAATCTGTAGGCACTTTATGCTCTGTTTCTTGGCTCACAATAAAACCCAGACTGCTGTATCTTGGAGGGTAAGAAAAAATATCTATGTTTTTAAGCTGTGCTCATGTAGACTTGCAAAGATGTGCACTTCAAAATGGCATAGACATTAACCTGTAAAACTGGAACTCCAAAGAAAAATACCAAACTTTTGTCTAAGGCAAAAGACTTGAGGTAAAATCCCTTGACTCAATAAAATTTTTTCTTGTAGCTGTTCCTAGAGAAGACAGAATGAAGTATTCTGTATTTTCTGCAAATAAAGAATGGAAAGGAGAAACATATTTCCTTGTTCTTTTTGAAGTCATCTGTCCCACCACAAATTCCATTTAAGCAGGCTACAAGTACCCTAGTGTAATAATCAGGGAGAAATGGAACCTTCAATCATCTCATTTTCAATCAAACATTTTAATTTAGAAGCAGAAGACTGTAGTACAGGAATATATGGAAACTCATTCTGGACCTGTATATCAGATAATTAATTCATAAGGGTGCCACATCTGCTGTATGCAGGGGGAAGAGGGAGTGCCATAAAGGCAGAGGAAACTGCCAACGTATTAAGTAGCAAATTTCCATGAGTGTTCTCAGATTTCTATCAATCTGCATACATAGACTTCCTCTGAGCACAGCTTCTGACATTCAGATCAAAAATAATGGTCAAGAGACATAAATGAGGCCACTTCCATTTATTTTCATCAGCAACAAGTGGTTTTAAATTATTGCAGTGTCACTGACATGCTATGAAAACATCTGAGTCAATCAGAAAGTAACATAAAGTAATAAGTAAGTTGTGGGAGTCTAAAAAGTAAAAAACAGGACATGTTTACCAGGAAGGTCCATGAAACTTAACATGAAGAACAATTCTCCCCTCTCCTGCCCTTAGTATTGGTAAAAAATACTTTATCAAAAGTTAGTTTAATCTACTTGACTACCCTTTAGTGTAGGAATGAGGCTTTCAGACATGATTAGAGTAACCATATCAAGTAGAAAACACACAAACTGAACAAAACCATACAAACTGAATAAAAACCCATCCGAAACCCACCTCACTAATTCATTAGCACTTTACTAATAAGGACTAAGAGACACCAGTCACCCAATAAATGTCAGAAGTAACACTTTTAACTGAAAAAAAAATAAATGGCAGAACTTGTGATTATTTCATCTGAAGATTGAGATTCTTAGAACTCATAGACTGAAAAAAAAACCAAACCAACAACCAAAAGAAGTTGCTGACTAAAGGAATCCAGGTTAGAATGTAAACAACTGAAGAGTACAAAAAAACATTGCATAGCCTCTTCTATTATCTTCCATTACCATGCTAGTGCACTGGCCTTGTCTGAAGATCTAATCTTTTGGATAGGCTTTCAACTCTGACTCTTTAACTGACCAGAATTTATGAAAACCAATCATCTGTAAGGCAGGATACTAAACTAGGGATGTGAATATATCAAAAAAAATAAAGGGGAAGAGCAGGAAACTTCAAAACCTGTGTCTTCCCAGCAGTTCCTCTAGACTCATTGGCACTGATATGAGGGAAGCGTAATATCAGGTAATGACAAGCTGGCCTCACGCACTCAGAGCTATTAACATCAAACAAACCCGATGCTCAATGTAAAGCACAACACATTTCTAGCAGAGCACTTCTTGGTTGATATTGATTGCACTAGAAATGAGGAACAGGGAGACTAAAATGAAAAAAAATATTAAGTTCAGGAGTAGTGACAGTCGATGAATAAAGAACAAGATTCACATTTGCATGCATTTGTCCTGTTTCAGCTTGATAAGTACTTACCAGGCCTGCTACATCATCAATCCGTCACAGTGCACTACAGTCAATATTAAAATGGTGCTTTTTTTTCTTTCATCTAGTATAGCAAAGTCCTTCACCACCCCAGCTATTCACTAAAATAGATCACATAGAATTTCATGCCCTAGAACAAGTCCTCACTTGGTTAAAAACCCAAAAGTACCTGGAAATATCCTTAACAGACCTTTTCCCCACCAGTTTGTCTAATTTTCCTTTGAAATAATTTTTGAATTCTTTATCACTTTCTAATTGGATAACTTTTCAGGACCTTCGTATCATTTTTGTAAGACAGATATAATCTAAAGAAAACAATCCATGAACCCACGACTAACCTGGGTGTTTGCTCTTTAGAAGAACAAAAATCAGGTCTGATCATTTGTTTCCTACAGGGATTTCAACCTGAATACTTATTCTCTGCTTACACAAAGTCAATGCATTCTCCTGCAGGATTTGTTATCTTATATCAAGCAAAGCAGGAGGAGAGTAAATACAATTACAACAAATCTGTAAAACATAAACCCCAGATTATGCTCTGGGAACGATGTTATCATTTCCTTGTCATAGGGAATATGAGTTCTCCCCTCACTCACCACTTATGCTGTATTTGTCAGGAGCACAAGAATAGCTTCCAAAAAAATAGAACTGAAGACCTAAAAAGTGTCTTAATTATGGTGACTGAGTTTCAATGAACAGAAGCACCTGCCCTTTGGCAAACAGCGTGCATGGGAGCTGTATGCATGGATACAATGCATCGCATCAGAAGGGACAAGCGTCTCAATCAGCTGTTTGCTGAGACCACGGGAGCGTTTTGACAAGCTGTGCTAACACACTGATAGGCTGAGCTAGGGACACTCTGGCACAGAACGGGCCAAGTCCATGACAAGCAAACTCAATTAGGGAGCATTTAATTGTCAGGCTCTTGTTTCAGCGGTGAGCACTGACTGTCTATCCTGTCACTGGATGTAGTAGGGCCCAGCACTGCCAGGGAGAAGCCAGGTCACATCACACCATGCCGAGCAGAGGGCTGGTGGGGTCTGGGGGGATTGCTGGTAGGGGTTCTCCAGGGAATCAAATCTGAGATGAAGCAAACCACAAACCCCCTCTGCCCTTTGAGATATTCCTGCCTAAAGTGTCTCTTTCTTAACTCCACCAGCCAAAAGACCCATGCCCATGGGCAGCTCTGGCCCTCTGAGATGGAGGTCTCACCTGTCCCCATCCCCACATCCCATCCCTGTCATCCTGGGGCTGTGTTGGACACCGATTCCCCACAGCAGGGTCTCATCCAGACTCCCCACCCTGGGCAGGTCTCGGGCAGGAGCTGTCATGAGAAGCCTGGTTTTCTGTCCAGCCCCCCCTGCCAGGCACAGCCCTGTGGGGACAGGCCATGGCACATACCCTGCTCCCCTGAGGGGCCGGCTCACGGTTGGATTCCAGAGGAGTTGCCTGGTGCTCCCCAAACGCTTGGCAGCCATGAGGGGGGAGCAGGGCCTGTGTGTGGAGCTGAGAGCAGCCCCCTGCTTTGGGACTGCTGTGGGGGCCAGGCTGCATCCCTGTCCTACAGCAGGAGCAACAAAATGCCCTCTCACTGGAGTGGCCTGAAATCCCTGCTTACACAGCAGCCTTTTGACTCGGGCAAAAAGTTTTGTGTTGAGTTGCAAGGAGCCAAATCCCATTTTCACCACAAACCACTGGCCACACATTCCGTGCCTGGTAGCAATGCCACTTATCCTGTCCTTACACACTCCAAAAAGGTGTTTGGAAAAAACCCTGATATGTTTCCTAAAGTCTGCAGGATTGTACTGTTAAGCAAGTAGCCATTTTGGTCAGTGCTATCTGAAAAAAAGAATTAATCCACACACATATGATAACATTGCTGTCTTTTATTGAATAGAAAAATATCAATATCTTAATTTTTAAATAACTTACAAACCATTTCTGGGCAGGAAAATTAATGGATTGCATGCTATTAATACTCTCATAGTTTCTTCTTTGTAGGACATAAATTTGGTGATGATACTGCTTTTATAGGGTCAGATTTTATACCTCCTTATTGCTTTCAGCATGCTGCACCAGTCTTTCTAATAGGTGGTTAATAACTTAATATCTCCCAATGAGAAAGTGTCATCAAATGAATAGGTAATTCAAGAAATAGTGGGAAAATCACTTTGAAAGACTTGAATTTCATAAAATGTGAGTTTTGAATTATATGTTATCACAGTTGCCTATCTTTGTGAAACATTAGCATAATCCTTGATGCTAAGCTTATGTACCAATTCCCAATCTGTACAAAAAGCAAATAGATGTTAAAGTAGAATAAGATGATGGAATACAACATATAAAATGCCATCTAAAAGATTCATACATCTGTATATATTAGTCATACTAGTATTCATGTCCTCACAGGTCTTTTTACTGTAAATAAATATATAGCCCTACTACTATACTAACTGCTACAAGAATCAGAAATGTGGGCACCCCAGACAGCTTTGGAGAGAGCAGCCCACAGTGTCAAAGGCCAAATTCTTCTTTGGTGTAAATCTGTTAATTCACCCCCATCTCCAAAATCTGCTCGTGTAACTGCTTCACTTTTAAACAGTTCGCAACATTTACCAATGTTGGAAACGAACTTGGTAGCTTGCATCCATTTGTAACAAACTTGTTGCCTTTCTGAGCATTCATCGGCAGAGTAGCAAACCATTAAACCTATGATATGCTTGTAATATATAAACATATATTTTGCTTTTTCAATAAATATTCTGTTATGGGATCCATATTGTTGTTGCACAGATATGTTGCTAAAGTAAATTTACTTTGCTTGTGCATTTGAGCTTTAGTAACCAGGAAAAATGCTTGGGATAGCTGCAGAGGTTTGGGTACAAATCCTTAAGGTCAATTTTTAAAGTGAAAAACTTCATATGTACTTTTTATTAAAAATTATGTTTTGCAGGAGCAGGCGATTTTTTTTTTTAAAACATCATCTGGCTGGAAGAATGAAATTCAGCAGTGTTATTTTAATCAGATAGCACAATTATTGTTTATGCTATTATAAAAATTCTGTTGCATTTTTTATGTGATTATTGTACTCCTTTAACTAAACATAATCTTAAAAGTGCACTTTCCCCCTCTTTTATTTGCTTTTTTTTGGTCTTTTTTCCCCCCAACTTAATCCTTTTAAATGCTTTCAATGGAGACAAAGAAATATTAGATATTTATCTGCTCTGTTCCTTTTATTCTACAAGAGGTAATTTGGTTATTCTGCTGGACACCCTGGGACTTGAGTGAGACATGTGAGCCTTACTTCTGTTGCACCTGCACAGGAGGGAATAGCTGCCCTCCTGAGCACCCGGCACAGCTCCTGCTGAGGGACTGGCTTTTCTCAGTCATGCCCTCTGTTCCTTGTTTTTCCTCTTCCTTCCAGTCACGGTGTAAGCAAGACTCACACTTATTTAATGACTCAGATTTGCAAATAGTCCTACCGTTTTTCTACGTATGTACCTGGGAAGTAAGCATTTAGGGACCTCAGATTTGGATTTTTTTAATTGCTTTTCTTTGGCCTTTATTTTTTTACTTTCAGGACCATGTTTTTGTCAAGCTATTAATAACTAGGAAAATGAAATATATAATATCTTTATAGTACAATAACACATCTTAATGCACTATAACTTGTTTTTTCTTTTTTGTTTACTTTGCATCTTGAGCAGATGTCATCATTCTGCTGCCTTTGGAAATACAGACAATAGCTTTTTTACTTGCCTCTATAAGTATAATTCAGAACCTATCTCATGCAATTTAATGTTTTCCCTTTAAAACAGGATATACTCAAGTGGCTTGTAGTATTACATTTGCTAATACCAGTGTTTCTGGAGTGCCCCAGAATTTTCTCTAGTTCCATAAATGTGAAACACTATTCTTTGTTCAGATTTTCCACTGTCCCTGAAATATTCTGATATTCTACCTTGAAATACTCTGATTCTAATTAGCTTTTAGACTATTTGTCCTGGCAGTTGGACTGAGTCAGATGCAGATTCCTTTCTCCCATCACAATACCTACTTAGTATTAGAGGCATGTCATGGTTGCTGCCTCCTGCTTGCAATTGTTGGTGGTAATGAGCTGGGAATTAAACTGTTTGGGCTCTTTTCAAGCATTTGAACCTCTTGGTTATTTTCAAAGACATTATATGCAGAGGTAGAAATGTGAAAGGTACTAAATTTCCACAAATTTTGTGAATATAAGTGCGTAGAAGAGAAGTGTGCTTCAGGAAAGGGAAGGGCCAGCTGTTCCCTGGCCTTTTAGCAGCCTATCCAGCCACTGCCACCTTAGGGAGCTCTGGCCAGGGGGGAAGGGGTAGTGCAGGAGAAGGGCATATTAAAAATGTGGAAAACGGGATTTCACAGTGGCCTTGCCATGATTACAGAAAGGAGTTGAGACTATCTGAATGTTGAATATTGGTTTAGGCTGTCATTGTGAAGAAGGGGGATGGAGTACCTGTCCCTGGAACTAGCAGGGGGTCTGGGCAACTGCTGGCTGGACAGTGAAATCTCTGCAGAGACTGGGCAGACAGACCAAGGCACAGCCTTTTCTGCTACTGTGGTGCATGAACTGTGGATGGCTGGGTAGGAACCTTGAGACGTGGAACTTGGAAAGCACACAGGATGAGTGGCTGCCTAGTTGGAGAGCCCACTCCCAGGGAAAATCAGAGCTGGATAACCATAAAAACAAGTCATAAGAGTGAGGAAATTCCTTGCTACTGCAAACACAGCAGCCCTCATGGGATAGGGCTGTGCATGCCTTTGAACCCTCCTGGCATGAAGGGGCCCCAGCTGCGTGTGCGGAGAGGGAAGTGTGTGGTGACTGTGTTCATGTCGAAGAAGGCATTTGGGGTGACATGGGCACATTGCCCACTTTCTATGGAGCTGTGGTATAAGGGGACTATTGAAGTGGGCTGGTGTTGGAAACATAGCTGCTGGTTTAAAGTGACCAGTGGAATTTGGCTGAAAATAATTCTAATTTCAAATTCAGGCAGCTAAATAATCTGGATATTTTGGAAATTTTATCTAGGAGGAATCTAGACTGTTTAAGATATTTAAGTACTTTTCTTCCCTTCAGAAGAGTACTCTATACCTACAATAACAACTCATACACTTTGACTATCACATATTCTCCTGCTGCAGTTTACCATGACAATAGGATTATCATGATGCTGCATGCATTTGCTTACACATTTCCTGAAAAATCAGCCTTAAAAATTTCCACTTTACCATGCATCTGAAAGGATACCAGTGCTTCCCTTTTAAAAGTCCCAACCTACATCCAGTCTTTGACATGCAGTGTCCCTTCCTAATGAGAGTAAGAAGATGAGGAGTATGTTTAGTGAATTCTCATCACTTTCCTCTCTGCGGTCCTGTTCTACATTGTCTCTAATTCCAGAGGCCCCATTTAGCTCTGTTCTGGAAACAGCTTACTACAGTTATTGCTGTTGCCAAACAGTCGTGATACAACTCCTCTCATGAGCTCATCTGAAGTTTATCAAGATTAAGAGAGTGATGGCTTTACTGTATTGATGTACTTCCTACAGAGCCAATGTTGTATATTTAATGTGTAACTCTCCAGGGTTCAGAGACAGAGCAGCATGACTTCCCTCTAGCAAACCTTAGCTCAAGCCAGCTTCCCCGCAAGAAAGATTTGTACCTGGGGGGAACGCAAAGTACATTTAATACCCTTTTTTTTTTCTGTCAGACAAACATTTGCTTGGACCATAAGCCAAGATGACTAGACAAATTAATAATGCAGTCCTTCACATTCAGCATTAAATCCACAAGATTTGTTTGGGTGTTGAAGCAAGGAAGTTTCTAACATCTGCTGGTCGCATGGTTCTATTCCTGCTGCCCTCAAGGAGAAGAATGTTTCAAAAAAGATAACGAACAGGCAGACAGATCAAAGGGAAGAATGTTCTTGAAAAACCTTTTTATCACACACAATAAAATAGTTATTCCGTGTTTCGGTACTTTTAGCTGATTAGGTTAAATATAAATTAAAATAATATGTGTAGACAAATATTCCATGATGATGTTTCACTTTTTTATATGTATTTTAATCTGTAGAACAGAAATACATGTTGTGGAGGAAAAAAACCAGCTCAAGTTCTTCCATATATTGCCAAAGCACTTTTGTATTTTTCAGACTGAATTCTTCCATGTGATCTTTCTATTAGTTTCATCTACTTCTGTAGCTCTGGGTACACAATTATTTTATAATATGTAACTGTAAAAGAAGAGAGTGAAGTTTTATGTTGGAGACCTTGCTAATCAAGATTCACTTTTCCACCGACTAATCAGTTGTGCAAATTCTATCAGGATCTGAAAGTTAAATCTATTCTAGCTCATATCTGAACATCAGGAATAACAATATTGCAATTGCAGCTTACTGTCATCTACACTTGATGAAATTAACACAATATGAGAGTAAAATTGATTGGGAAACAATGTTTGGACAACAGTATGTATAGAGCAGTAGTTTAGTTTCAAACTGGAAGAAGGTTTTGCAAAACTTGCTCTGGGTCCATATTTTTATTACTAACTTGGATGACAGGATAGGGAACACAGTTTCAAGTCTGCAGATGACCCCAGACAGTCACTTATGGCAAAGATGCTGAAGGACTAGGATTCAAACAAAAATGGATACGGGAAAGGGGTCTGAAAAAATAGAAACTGTTCAACAACAGTACATGAAATGGTACATAGGCACTAACTGGAGGCACTACAGTTTGGGTAACAATTTTGCAAGAACAGAATTTGGCATTGATGGCACATGAAAAACTCAAGATGAATCTACAGTGTTTTAAAATAGCAAGCAAGCACCAACCCAGAAACTAAAGGAACAGGATGTGTAGATAAGATATGGAAAATAATCATGCTGCTCCATGCTCTATTAACAACATATTTTCTGTGTCACTCTATCTGATTTTGAGCACCATCCTTGAAAGGAAAATAAAAAGTGGACCAAGGATCAAGCACAGTCTGGAGCATGGCAGAGCAACTATAGAAAGTGTCACATATGGAAGGGTATTTTTCTAGTCTGGGATAGCAAAGACTGAGATGAGCTACTGTAAAAAATACCTCCCTTTCAAAAAGAAAGGGAATATTCTGTTCTCCATATTCAGCATGGCTCAAATGCAAACAATGTGCCTCAGCTGTAGCAAGGAAGAATTAAATTAAGCATCTGGGAATATGTTTAAAATTAAAATGTTCTTCAATAGGTCGACTGGGACAACTGTAAAATCTCTAACACTTGAAATTCATTAAAGCTTGACAAAGTTCTCCATTTTCTTATCATCATGGGCTGTAGTTTGGGGATTATAATTCTTGTTATTGCACAGACCTATTACATGGTGTCAAAAAAGGACCAGGTCTTCTGCAAATCAGGTGAAATATTTCTGTAGTTTTGGTTATTTATGCAAATTTATTAAGCCTTAGACATCCAAGAAGGTAGAAGAGCTAAGAGCAGGGATAGAGCTGTGAATAAAGAAGTTAAAATCCTGACAGAATAAAGGGATCTTTTTTTTTTTAGAGGTGCTAAAATATCACAACACTTGCTGTTTACCCTTTGGATCTATGCTGCAAGTCTGAGGAGGTGTAAGCTCTGTTTGACACCTTCTCAGCTGATGGAACATTCAGAACATCAGTCTCTCTGTGTGCCTCACTTTCTTTACCTCCTGACTTGCTTTGTGTGGCTTTTCTTGTATCTAACAGGTTGCAAGCCTGCCTCTCAGACCTTTTCTCAGGTGGGGTGCCAAGATTTATCAAAAGGGGTAGGATGTTGATTCTGTGTGAAATGTCCTCCCTTTTGGCAATTTTTTTGGAAACTGGCCAATGTGTAAAAGAGAGCAGAGACACATGGACACATATGTGCAGTCTGAACCCTTGCACTTTTCTTCCGTAAGACATCAGAAATGCTTTAAAAATATCTTATCACTGCCTCTGATACTGGTGTAAAAAATTTTACTCAAATGCCTATGAATGAAAAATAATAAAACCACATCTTTTATCATTCCAGTTAGTAAATGAGGTATGGTTCTGATTTTTTTTTTGACAGAGACCACTTCCCAGTGCAATGTTCAGCAGAGACAAACCCCATGGTATATTTGGCTAGCAGAAAGATTTGATGAACTGAGATAAAAATAAATGGAAAGAAAAAAAGGAAGGAGAAGGATTTTGCAGGTGTGGACTGAGAGAAGAAAGCTGAGGGAAAGAATGAGCTGACACAAACAGTCAGCACAGAGCAAAATCTACCCTTGTAGAACAAAATGAATTTTCATGGAAGATGTGTTATTTGTCACAGTTTTTTCAGCTGAGGAAATGAATGACTACCAAACAATTCTTAGAGACAATAATCTGGATACTTTCAATTTTAAGCAGGTCTTCATCAGAAGTAGGTTATTATTTTGTAGACCAAATAATGGTCCCCGGGCAATAACTTAGCACAGAACACGGTACTGCATGAGTAGAATTAGCATTTGCACAGCTGGTGGTAAAAGCAAAGTAAGAGGCTAGTCACATTTCTTTGGATTATTTTGTGAAGTGGAATTAATTCTTGTGAAAAATGCCAGATAAAGAATCCAGAAGCAAAGTCTTCATTGATTTCAGTGGATCAGAATCCACTCCTGAGAACTCTGCACATCCAATGTGCAGAGCCAAGCCACAGTGCCATAAGTTGCTTGCTAAAAGGGTAATTAATGACCCTGCCTAGGAGCCTAGGGCAGGCAGACTGACCTTTTCAGTCCTTGCCATCTCAATTAAGAGTGCCAACAATAATGATACCTAGGGATCAAAATACCCATCTGCTATGTATTAGATTGAGAAAAGCAGCTACCTGAATGCTATTTATGAAGAAATGTGTTTAACTTAGAGCTAAGTGCTTGCCCAAATGCAATAGCTCAGAGAAGGGGCTGTGACTTTCTCTTGGTACAGGGTGGTGGTCAGTATTTCATATGAGAAGGGCACTTTCAGTACACTGCGAACAGATTGCTACATGCAGAAGCAGCATTGCCCGGCAAATGACAGATATTTGCACAGAGAAGGGCAGGAACTAGCTAGGCCTGCTTTGGAAAAGGGCTTGGAGACTAGATGGCACCCACGGGCTCATTGCAGCATTTAGAACAGATGAACAAATACAACTTTAGAGTTCTTGGTTTTGAACTGTGACTATTCACTGGTAAGACCAAACCTCTTTGGTGAGCTGGAGAAATTAAACTCTGATGTAAACTTCAAGTTAGGATAAAGAGGAGGATTTCAGCAGCTCCAAGAGATACATGTAAAGGTTATGTAAGGTTATTTTCTTTTTAATTCATGAGCATCTGTTTCTTCTAAATATATCAAAAAGCAAGGTTAAGTTTTCTCAGATAAGACTACAAAAAGTAACCACTGACAGTGTTCTATGTCTTTAAAAGGGGAATAGCTTTGAAAGACATTTCAAAAGATAATGTTTGAAAACTAGGCCATCTTGCCTCTCTGTGAGCTTCTGCATGTACACCTAACAGGAAATCCATTTGAATCCAGAAACTGTACCCTTGCTTGGAAAGAGTTGATTCTGCCTTTCATCAAAGTTCCCCTTTACAAAAAGCTAGGCATCCTGAGGAAAAAAATATTTAATTAAAAACATATCTGACTATCATGCCTCTCAAAATCTTTGCAGATTTATATTATTTATTCTATTATTGCAAATAATTTCAAATAATAAAAACTGCAGGTAAATATTAGAGTGAAACTGTAGAAAACCGGAATATAACTTAGGGCATCTATTCCACAAGGTTGTTTTTACATTTACTAATGCCCTTGAAAGTCTGCAGTGACAGGGTTTTTCTCTGGTTTGACATGAAACAGCTCTTTAAACACAGGTCATATCAAAAAGCTTCTGCCTACTTGGACCTGAAGTGCCATTCTTTGTGTTCACACTGCGTTTCTCTTAAATCTAATAAAAAATAAGACTGTGTTGGTCCACATCGATGAGCAATGGCTTTAATTTTCCTAGTGAATTGCGACCTTGTAAGCAATAAGCAGAGTATTGTGTAGGCATTGTTGCTCATAGATGCTTGGAAAATACAGAACAGGGAAGGGATTGCATTCTTATTTCCTGGATTAAGCAAAAAACTACTCTGAACATTCTCAAATAGGCACATTGTACTTGGCAGTATTTTCTACCCAGGGGAAAGAAAACACTTGGTGATTCTCTACAGTTTGTACATGAAATCGGACAAAATAACTTCACTACTTCTTGAAGAATCTAAGAAATTGCTATATAAGCCGAGTGTTAGTAATATAAATCAAAACAACAAGAGATGCCAACTGTATTACTTGAAATGCTGACCCTTCTCTCAGCTAAGGCTCACTGAGCTTCAGTTCCCAGAGTGGGGACATCAGCGGGTCCCACAAACAGCTCCACTTCCACAGTTGTTGGAAAGGAGTCACCCGAACAACTTAATACCCTCCATCTCCAGAGAAACTTAATTCAAATATAATGTTAATCAAGAAGCTTTTTTCCAAACCTGACCTCTTTCTCGTGATTAATTCAGTCTGAGAAATGGAGCTGGTTTGGTTTTCATGTCCAGCCTTACCTTCTCTTTGTTCTCTAATTTATAAATGTGTCGAATATAATTAAATCTGTCAAAGGCCAAGATTAAATCAAACAAACTGTAAACATTGCTTGTGTTATTTGGTTGATGCAAAGCTTTCACCATAAAAGGCTTTTAGATAAATGAACTCAGCTATTAGAGTGCTGCAGCACCAAAACTTTGCTCCAAGTGTTTGAACTTTTCAGGGACACTGTCAGGTCAGCTTAGATTCAAAACCTAATATATGGCTGGGATTCTGAAATTGCCTAAGGGAATTAGGTACCTGACTTCTACTGAAAGTCAATGTGTGGTGGGAAGTGAATTGACTTTCAGCAGGAATTAAATGCCTTTAAAAAGTCTATTCATGTCCTTGCAAAAAGAGATCCATGTCCTTCATGGAGATAAATGAATGTAGCTGCTTTGACATCTACATACCCAGCAAAGCATCTGATGCACAAAAGTTACAAAATCTAAACTAGGCAGAAAATCCTAAGAGCTATCTTTACTTATTTGATTGTATTTTGGTTAGCAGTAGATATTTCCTTCCAATGTGTAGTAATTATATTGTTCAATAATGATATTATTAAGTTGTGGCATAACTAGGGCTAACTTCCAGTAGATTACTCCTTTAAGGACTTTTGAGTTTCAATCTGCCAGGCTCCAACCTGCAGATTAACCCACTGATTTTAGCAGTACTCTTTAAGTGCTGACCTCTTAAGTGCAGATTCAGAGGCTCAATACATCCAAGGTTTCCAACAAAGCATTTTTGCCTTAAAAACCCACACCCATATCTCATTAGCCATCATGCAAATTCAGCAGGCAATAGGGAAACACATTACTTGTGAAAGCAGGTTTCTGTTGTTGACTGAGATTTTAGTGTTAAACAATATGGCATTAAAATTTACACAGCTTTGAAATAAGATCTCTCTTTCCTTTAATTCCTCATTGCTACTTTAAAAAGTAATGCAAGAAATGTGATGTTGTCTGTATTTTTGCTGTAACTTATTTTTCACACAGGATGGGCATTTGTCACTCCTACGATAAATTCTGCTCTTTTTTGGCACATTTAAGTTTATATCTCCACATGTTTTATGAATTTAATAACTTAATGCTACATTATGCACGGAGCTTTTCAGGATTTCTCTGTCCAATGCCTTTAGAAAAAACCACTGTAGTAGTACCATGGGACTGGAGTTAGAAATTTCCCTCTCTGATCTTAAAAGTCTTATTATTTATCCCCAAATATTCTCTAAGAATATTGGTCTCCTTGGTAAAGCTACCTCATTCAATGTATAGTGTGGCTGCTATAAGATGAACTCAACGGCAAAATCAGAGGTCTTTTAGGGACAGGATGACATCATTATACAAGATGGCACAGGGACAGAATATGCCAGTCCTTCATCTCTGGAACAGCAATTCATATCTGAATAGAGGTGATCAGTGCCGTTATTCCCTCATTATCTTCAGTGCACATGAAATCCAACCACAAAACCAGTGCAAAGATCCTTTCAGCTGGCAGGCTTGTGTCATGAGGAAGGCAGTGCTTGAGAGAGCAGAAGGTCAGGACTCAATGAAAGCAGAGTTAGTGTACAACAGTGATCTCAGACAGCCTTGCCAAATCTCTTTGATCAAGACTATTTATTAGTCCCTTGCTTTTGCAACCATAGATGCTTTCAGATGTGTTGAAAATAGCTGGTAAGATTCCTCTGTGGTGATGAATAACCAAGGCTTGGTACCACAAAGAATGAAACAGAGCAACATAACTGTCTCATGTCTTGAGAGCAGTTGAAACCATCTGAAGGTCATCTTAATGATTGCTCAAGCAATGGGTCAAGTCCTAAACTATTTCTGCTAGTTGGCAGCACGAGGAATACACCGATAACAATGAGATCTTAGTGTTACAGGCAGTGAACAGAGGCATTGCTGGATGAATTTGAAAAGAAGGCTTCAGAGTAGTACTTTTCTCTTTTTATATCCAAGTATTTTTATTCAGTGAGGTTGAGACAAAGAACGTCTTGGGATAAAAAAAAAGTGTAACAATGTAATGGATCTTGGGTATTATAATACCATCTAAATTAACTCTGTGGCAATTTTTGCTAATACGTAACTCCACAAAAAACCAAATAAGACTGCTTTTCTCACCAAAGTTAGGGTCTGGGAGCTGGTTCAGATTTTACATGGATGCAAATATGAAGGGATACTGCTAGGGTTATTCCACTGCTGCACAGCTGAGTTGATAAATATCAGAATTTGGACTAATGACTTCAGCTTTGAGCTTTCCTTGTAACTAAGGACAGTAGGATTTGACTTTAAATCAGGATTTTACCTCTAATAAAGTCAAAAGAGACTGCAATTCTTTTCACTGGTTAAATACATTTGTTGAATATCTGGGGTTAGTTTATTATATGAAAGAATTCCAAGCTTTTGTTTTCAAATTCAAATATTGCTTTAAATGTGTATCAGAATGTTATTCTACAGTATTAGAAACCTAAATAAAAGAACTTTTGGCCAGAACGAAGAAATAGGATATGTTATTAATTCCCATTAGAAACTAAACTGAAGAGGCTATTTGCATTGTTCTGTATGAGAGAAAATGAGAACTGCATATGGTGTTTTAAATTCCCTAAAATGGTAGTATTCTGAAAGTCTTTCTGGCTGTGAGGCAACATTTAGTCCTGATGCATGTACTATTCCTTTCCAGTCCTTTGTGACCAACTCTGCTTATTTACACTCTCATATACTATTTAGCTTTAATGCATTGCATGGATAAAGGAGAATCAGGAATTCAGCCCAGTCTGCCTTAAATTCTTTCCAGACTTTATGGTAATTTGATCCCTTATTTCTCCAGTTACCTATTAAAAAGGATGATTTCACTGTCATTAAAGATCACCTCTTTTCCTGTTTTCATGTTCTTCTCACTGTAATTACTCTTCTCATTGAAATTTCTTTTCTAGTCATAATGAACACTCAGAACATTTCATTGAGAAAAATGAGGAGTTAAACATTTTCTACCTCCCTAATCAGGATCCTGTCATTATCATCACCAAAAGCCAGAGAAACAGGGGAAGAATTACAGAATTACATGAAAGAGAAAAAGGACACTGCCAAAGTGATTCTGTGATCACAGTCATTAAAATAATACCTGGATGCTGGCATGACAATCTAATTGCATACTAAAGCCTGTTGCGTAAACTCAGTTACTAGTTGCACTACACAATGCTGATACTCAATTGCTTCAGTCACAATTGAGCCAAATATGAACAGAAAGTTGAAAAGTCTCTGATTGCTACTGTCGAATAATTCATACCACTCATAAATACATCAGTTTTTAATTTAATTTGATATTTTTGAAACAGAAAGCCACAGTGATTCGATTCTAGATGAAAAAGTAGCCTTGGAAAAAATCATGTTTTGCAAATGAAGAGAAGAAAACAAAAGTAGGATAAATTTTTATTCTATCACTTTTGACAGTATCCTCTTAAAGGAAAGACTAAATTAAATTCTAAGGGCAAAATTCTCTCCTCATTCGCATCACAATAACCCCAAAATATACCTACCAACTTTCATACTATTTTTCATTAAATTAGATCTGCAATATCATAGAGAAAGTCTTATTCCTCTTTTGGTCTCAGATGAACTACTTTCAGGAAACAGGTATGATGAGAATAAGACAGAAAGCTCAAAAAAAATCTTTGAATTAAGGATGTGTTCAGTAGACACTTGGTTTCTTCCCATCCCACATATTTCTTATCCTGAAATCTGTGTTTCACATAAATGGAAAAGAACAGGACATGGAAATTTGATCTGGAGGCTAAATTAAATTCCTTCTGCAGTGACCTGCTTGAGAAGCAGAGGGATGGGAAATAAGGAAGGCTGGGACTGGTGCAATTCAAAAACATTAAGTGACAGCCCCCCAAAAGTGTCAGCGGTCTTCCATCAGGAGGTATGCCCTTCACATTCATCCCAGCCTCTGGTGGCACTCTCTCCCTAGCTACTTCCACTTCATTCACATTGTTTCAATACTTGTTGAAATGGCTCACACTGTTTCACCGTTATTACTGTCACAATTTTACCTATCCACACTTGTCTCTGCCAGTCTGTTATTCATAATTGCCAGGGCTCCAACCCCACCAGAGAATCCGTTTTGCTTTGAATTACAACTCATTTGCCTTGGATACCCATTAGCAGTTTCTGACAGCTGTTTCTGCATGATGGCCAATGAGACTTTATTTGAGGCCAGGAAGTCTTTCATGGAGATCATCTCTCCTGACAGACGGCGTCCATCTGTGTCACTCTCATTGACAACATCAGTCTCGATGGAGATGTTTCTCTGGCTGCGCACATTTCCAGGCATTACCACGTTCCTCCTTGAACGAAATAATCTTCTTTGGCATCTGTGGCAGCACTTGCAGGACAACTTCTTTAATATCCAGTTTATGGATTGTTTGATCACAATAGAGATCACATTGAATAAGGAATAGATGCAGCACACCCCCATGAGTATGAAGACGAAATTGCCAAAGCGGTAAAGGCCTTGGCTTTCATACTTGATGTTCTGGCTACTGACCAGGTCACCAAAACCTATGGTGCTGAAGGCCACGAAGCAGAAGTAAAGTGAGTCAAAGTAACTCCACCCTTCAATTGGTGTATACATTGCAGAGGCACAGCAGGAAATGATGAGTGATGCTACACATAAAATCAGCATGACATAGTACACAGAGGGCTTCCAGCCCGCCAGGCTGTCCACCTCCGACGTCCCTGAGCCCCGCCGGCCGTTGTGAGGGAGAACACCTTTCCTCCTCAGCTGTCTTTCGTGGCAGGACTTCATGACATAAGCTATGACTGTGATCAAGCGTTCCAGGAACAGGTTAAAGAACAAAATGGTCCCTGCACATCCTATAAGGCCGTAAAATATCAGAAAAATTTTGCCTCCAACGGTGGCTGGGGTGGTCATACCAAACCCTGGAAGACAAAGCAGAACAGTTGAAAAAAATAAAACTATAGTTACCATGTCAGGAGTTTCATCCCATGCAAGATCGACAAACTGGCAGCAAATCCCTGTAGTACAGCTCAGCTCTGCAAAAAAGTAAGGACACTCTCCCCAGGTGTAACCCACTTGTGCTTGACCTTGTCCCAGCCATAAGGGGAAGGAATGCATGCCACTATTTCCTCCAGAATCAGAATGAAACAAAAAGCAGAAGAAAACATAGAAAGAAAAGAAAGTTTAGTGGAGAGTTTTGGTCGGGTTGCTAGGTTCACTCTTTCTCTCCTTGTGCCTCGGATGGCTTCCAGGCTTTGGAATTATCACACCTGCTTTCTTCTCTAAGGTGCTGTTCTGCACCAGGGGTCTGTCCTGGGGGTGGCTCTTGACTTCCAGGGGTCTATCCCTACCAAATCTTTGTAACACAAGGTGAAATTTTTCTGAGGCTCACCTGGCTCCTGAGATAAGTGCAAGTGGTGCACCACCCAGCACTGAGTACCCACTGTAGCCTGGCTGTGTATGCCTAGGCTGGGGGCACACACCAGCCCCCAACGGAATCAGCAGACCCTCAGGAAGGTCCCCAGTAGGCGTTAAAGATGCCCTGCACATGACCCTGGTGTCTGTCACCCATTATCAACCCCTTTTTAAATCAGCTTTGCTGAATTTTTCCTATTTCTCTGTGTCCCACTCCACAGCTCAAGCCTGTATGTAAGTCTTATCAGAAATCTCCTCTGGTCTGATTCCCTGTAACGGGATTTCTCAGGCCAGAGGTGCTTCGGTCTTCTCTCAAATCCTTCCCATCCTAAAGCCTGAAAATAGTAATTTTGTTTCAGTTAAAGCTGTTGATAAGACAACCTTGTTTTGATAAGATATTACTAAAGAATGAAAAGTATGTTCAGAACACCATTGAGCAAATTGGAGTAACACTCATGATAAATCTTTGCTGCTGTTTTAATAGGATTAATAAGAGATTACATAACTGAACAACTAAGCCAAAACAATCTTGCTGAGAGGACAGAAAAATCATACAGGACATGAGACATTATTTGTTTCTTTCTCTTTGTAATTATGAGATGCTAATTATGAAATAAAGATATAAGGCTCTTGGAAATAAAGGAAATTGTATTTAATGTGATACACTTGTGCTTGGAAGACAAGACAAATGCAGTGTGAAAAGACCATGTTTCCATCAGTGCTGAACTATTTTCCTCTTCCCTTCACTGGAGACCTGCTACCAACACAGATTCCTTTCTAACAACGGTCCTCACACTGTTAAGTGACAGCCCTCAGCTTCACCCCTCCGGCACAATCCCTGCTAATAACAGCTCCAAATGTGGGTTCCCAAGGGTCACTGCACTTTTACCTGATCCACAATCAAACTGCAGCATAAAGTGGTCCTACAGGAGTCTCCAGCCTCCTCATTAAATTTCTGTGCTAGAGAGAGCTGGACTGCAGCTCTGTGTGGGTGGCACATAACAAGAGACAAACCACAAAGGCAAAATGTTCTTCGTGACAAGATGATCTTTTTGCTGTTGTTCCCCTTGGCACACAAATATTTCCTCTTGCTTTCCACCTTCCCATTCTGCTCCATGATCTGATGTCTCTATAATCCTAGCTTTGATGCTTATTTTCTGTGCAGGCTGGCTTATATGCAAGTCATGACCTCCACCCTGTGGACAGAGGCGTAAAGACCAATGGACAAGAGGAATCTCTCTGCAGCCTGGTGGGATCTGCCTAAAGCAGCGGTGGGAAGGGCAGTGAGGGGCTGCCACATCCCGGTCCCCCCTTTTCCTTGAAGAAGAGAAGCAGATGAAGGCTGGAAAGAGATGGAGAGGTGAGGACCCTCTGGCACCGGCTTTTGGGCTGCCTCCCACAGATTCCTGCCACTGGCGTCATGGCCAGAGCCTGAGCTCCTCAGGTTTGTTTGTTTAGTTAACTGGATTTTGTTGCTGAGTTCAGTTCTGTGTGGGTAAAAAAATCACTAGCAAAGGCTTTACAAAGGAACTCAACAGGCATCGGGAAATCATGGTGAACCATGAATACCAAAAGATGCAGGACATTGATCCAGAGAGGCAGTGAGTCTCAGGGTGACTGTCCCTTGTCATCTCCTCCTCTTCAGGGGAGCCCTCTTTTTTACCTTCTGGATTAAATGTAAAACTTTAATTAGTTTTTCTATTTACAGACCTCTATATGATAGCAATCGATACTAACATTTCCAAAGAAATGCTGTAATAGAAAAACTGAAAGCAGTATAAAGATATTAGTTTAACAAATTTTCCTTTAAAGATAATGAGCTGTAAACTTTTAGTCCCAGAAATTATTTCATTTCCTGAAATGCCCTGTATTTCGATGTATTGGGCCACATTATGCCTGGTTAACTTTGACCATCACCATATTACAACTGGGATTAATTTGTGACACCATATTATAGATCAGTATTTGTTTGACAGTAAATGCATTTTTCCCCAAATGGACTTCTGAGGTGTCTGAAATACGTATAAATCTAAGTAAATCTAGTGAATTGCTTCAGCCAAGAAATGCAAGAGGGAAAAATTGTAAAAGGTTGACACAGTTGAAATTAAATTAAATCTATTATTTCAGAATTTTTATGATAAAACTTTTCATTTCAAAATATCAAAACTACAAACTCCCTACTTTTCTTATAAAATGCCTTTTTTTTCTTTCATTGTAGAAAAGAAGAATGGAGTGTAGGGTGCCACTGAAATATTGTGGAATTTAATTTTTTTTTTCCAAAACGTAATGTGAGTAAATGTCTGGCAGGTTTCTGCATAGCAGCTGAGGCTCTCTCTGACATGCCACTTGAGATGCTGAGTACCTTACAAACTGAACCAGGGATGAACAGGCCTTCCATGTTTCATTACAGTCAGGTTTATAGTTGATTATCCTAAGGAAATGTTGTTATGTATTTATCTCTTTTCTTATATTTTTTATAACTGTTAAAATGTGCAGTTGTCAGAAAAGAACCTCAGAGACTTTGCTGTTAATCTGCCTTCATTTTGAAAACTGACTATTGATACCTAGACTTTTCTGCTATTCTTTTTAAACAATTCTTTATCAATAGTAGAACTCCACCTTTCATCCCATTGGTTTTATTTCTTTATTTCTTTAGAGGCTTTGGGGAAGACATTTGTGTAAAAGCTTTTTGAAAGTCCAGACACACTGTAATTTTTGTGAGATGTGACTTCCCTCTGCAAAAGCTGCATCACCTTTTTAAATGTCCTGACCTATTATATTCTTGTTTACACTTCCCTAACGTGCCTCTATCGAAGACAGACTTACTGACCCATGGTTTCCAGGAACATCTTTGCAACCTGTTCTACAAATGGTTGTCACACTTGCTACCTTTTCTTTTCTGTGCACCAGACCTGATTTTAGGCTATAAAGCACACTCTGTTATGCAGCATTTTCATGTTTGAGTTCTTTCGAAAGTCCTTCACAAAAAGCTTTGGTCCTGGCAATTTGAAAGAGACTACTCAAGTACAAGGAATAGAAGAGAAACCAACAGTCAAACGTATCAAAGGTAAATGACTCAGTGAATAATGTCAGTACCAGCCTGACCCATAGAGCAAAACAGTGAAAGAGAAAGAAGTTACACTGCAGACTGGGAAGCAAATGCAGAATGAAATTATGAAATTGTATAAAAGAGGAAATAAAACCAGTACTGGGCTGACACTTGGAGATTATTTGAAAATACAAAATTGCTTTTTGTGATGAAGAAATAAAAACAAGAAGCAACTTCAGGAAAAAAATGCTGATGATTTTATGGTATGAGAGAATGCTGATCAAACTTAGTGAATTTTATTTTACAAGTTGGGTGACATTTCTTGAAAGAGTTATTTTGAGTAACTGAAATTATAGTTAATCAAGTGGGAATCAGATCATTCTGAGTTGAAAAAATTGAATGTTTTTAAGGTACTAAAAAGTGTTTCAATCAATTTGTTAGACACATCTGCAGACATGGCATTGTAATACCACCATTGATAGAAAGGCATGACAAATCCTAACTTTACCAGCCCAGCAATGAAGGCAGCCTTCTTAGTAAAAATTTCAGGTTCCTATTTTGAAATCAGTATGATACTGATTTGCCCCATGATTCATTGACCACTATAAACGGTTTTATCTTTCCTAATATTCAGCTGAACTGAGGAAGTACATTCCTTGTAGCTTCAATTTTCTTTGAAGTTGGAAGGAATTTATACTCCAAGTAGAGTCAGTAAAAGTTTTCTAAACACACCTCCTATGCAAAATAAATTTTCAGATTTTATTTTGGCAGCAAAATTTCTATTATGAAGTCTGTTAGTGCAAACCATTATAAAATCCACCTGTGTGTTCAGTTTATATTGTGTGGACATTCCAAAAGGATACACTCATACAAAAGAAAAATTAAAAAGTGAAATCACATCGATAGTATAATATAATCATCCTTTATGATTTCCTGAAGTAAGTACTGGGTATAAATGGAGAAAAGCAAGCAGCTGTAATTCTTATCAATAGCCAGTTCGATAAGAAGGACTGAGGTCCAACAGGAAATTCTCCTAAAGCAGACTCCTCCAACAGAGAGCAAACAGTGAAAAATGTTAAGCAGATATTAGTCTGAATCTAACAGTAAAATGATTATATTGAAACCTAACAAGAGGAAACAGGCATCAACTTCTTATAATTAATCAATTCTACAAAAAAAAAAAAATCTTGTTTCTCTATTCTCTTTCCTCAATACCCTGATCTACCAGTCCCTGAAAATCTAGAAAAGGTGAATTAAAACACCTCCCTCCTCCAACAGCCATCCCTCTGCTATGAGGCTGTGCAGTGTTCCCATCCAGCCCTTCTCGCTCTGCCCAGGTCCCCCAGACCCACCACATCCCATTACCCAGACACAGCCAGGGTGCACAGCTCAGGGGACTCACACCCCCCACATCCTGACATGTCACACACACAGCACTCAGCCTCAGAGAATCCAACT